CGACCTGTTACTAGGGAAGTCAGCTCTCAGTTATTCGTCATTCCCGCAGCCGCGAAGACTAAAGGTAGTTCAGTCGCCGAGTCAAAATGCCCGAAGTCCCTAGTTCGTTCCGTCGACCATTACTCCAGTAAGGGCGCCTGTGGCGAAGCTTATGTTAGAATTAGCAGGCAGGAACAGAAATGATAAAAGGATGGTTTGCACTAGCAGCAGTTGGCATACATATAGGAAACCCTAATTGGGTTGTACTCGCTATAGAGTACCCCACTGCAGGCTAGACAATAATAACATTCTGACACACCCCCATAGCCAAAGTGGGGTGTAATCAGCACAATGAGCAGGCATAGCAATAGTTCACAATTATAAGCAAAGCTAGATGTAATCACAGAGGGCAAGTGAGGAGGAGGAGGGACTGTGAGGGGAGAAAGATTGGAGACGAAGACTGAAGCTGCAGATACACGGGCAACAAGAGCGCGCACACAGTGGCTACCGGGACAGCGCCCTGGACTACTGGAGTAACTGGCTCGGCGGCTACGAGGAGCGGCAAGAGCAACGGACCCACGGGCGACAGGCACAGTAGGCTCTCTGGGCTACCGAGAGCACGACGGCTCCGGACTACAGGCGCTGCAGGCGACACAACGGCAGCCTCCACGCAACCTCCCCCGACCGTCCCACGCCCCTCTCACACACCCCCTGCTGAAACCCTAGCTCCACTCCCACGGCACCCCCCTTAAACCCTAAACCCTCGGCTCCCACACACCCACCCCCCTCAGCGGCAGCTGCAGCAGTGGGAGACGGTGGAGGAGGAGGAGCTGCAGGCTACCCACACCGGTCACCCCCGTGCCCGCCACCCCCAAACCCTAACGCAGGCAGGAGCGCGGGAAGCAGCAGGGGCGGTTCACGGAGGGAAAGGGAGGCGGCGGGGGGGTCTTCAGGGCGCCACGAAGGAGCAGGGCGCGGGCCCCCCGAGGGCGCCACGGCGGGTGACATAAGGGGGGCCGCGGACAGGCCCCCGAGGGCGGCTCGACGGGCGACGGAAGGGACCGCGCGCGGGCCCCCAAGGCGCCGCGACGATGCAACGGAAGGGGGCGGCGCGCGGGCCCCCAAGGCGCCGCGACGAGGCAACGCGAGAGGGCGACTCGCGGGCCTCCAAGGTGCCGCGACGAGGCGACGAGAGGGGGGGACGCGCGGGCCCCCAAGGCGCCGCGACGAGGCGACGGGAGGAGGGCGACGCGCGGGCCCCTAGGGCGCCGCGACGAGGCGACGGGAGGAGGGCGACGCGCGGGCCCCCAGGGCGCCACGACGGGAGACGGGGGGCACGCGCAGGTCCCCGGGGGCGCCACGACGGGCACAAAACCGCCGCGCGAAGCAGGAAACCGCCGCGCACCTCGGGGCGCACGGCGGGCAGAAAACCGCCGCACGCCCCGAGCGTACGGCGGGTTGAAAAACGCCGCGCGCTCCGAGTGCGCGGCAGGAAGAAAGGGTCGTGCTCCCGGGGCGCGCGACAGCAGTAGAGCAGCGGAAGCATCAGGTGGGGCCCATCCACAGGATCGACCCAGGAGGGTCGACCTGCTCTGATACCATGTTAGAATTAGTAGGCAGGAACAGAAATGATGAAAGGATGGTTTGCACTAGCAGCAGTTGGCATACATATAGGAAACCCTAATTGGGTTGTACTCGCTATACAGTACCCCACTGCAGGCTAGACAATAATAACATTTCGACACCTTAGTGTTAAGTATCTGCGCTTGTCTATCGCAGTTTTTTTTGTTTGTTTGTTTTATTTCCAAAGTCGGACTCTTTCGTAGCACTTATATTCGGCCTTGTTTGCCTTGTTAATGCTTGCCTTATTCGAAGTCTAGCGAGTATTGCTCGCTAAGTACTTGCCCAGTCCCGCTTGTCCCTCTGCCTTTCCCCTCGCACCCCATTTCAGAGTCGCCGAGCTTCGCCATCAGCATCACGCACTGCAGATCGACACACCATGCGCGTCGCCGCTGCTGATCCACGTTGTGAGACGGATTGGAGCCTCGCTATGTGCTCGATGCTACTCTAATGCATTGTGGACCTGTTTTTTTTTATTTCGGTCCTTGTCCTGTTTCTTTTTTTATCTCTCTCTTCGGCTGTTTGCCTGTTTCTTTTATGTCAGCCTATTCGGCGCCCGACGGTAAGAATGTGTCGGCGTTGTCGTTGTCAGAATGCTATATAGCTTATACATTTGTGTAGGCTATAGTGGGGTATCCCATAGGGGGTACAACCCAATTAGGGTTAGTACTTGTACTCACTCATTTCATAGTTGATTCATTCTCGTTTCAATTCTCACATGGTATCGAGCAGGTTCCCTCGTGGAAACTGTTCCTAAGGCCCTACTACTGCTTCCGCTGCTACTCGATCTGTCGCACGCCCCGCGGCGTGCGACCGATTTTCTTTCTGGCGCGCGCCCCGAAACGCGCGACCCCGCCTCTTTCGTCGCGGCCCCGCCCTACGTCGCGGCCCCGCCCTACGTCGCGGCCCCGCCCTACGTCGCGGCCCCGCCCCTTGTCGCGGCCCCGCCCTACGTCGCGGCCCCGCCCTACGTCGCGGCCCCGCCCCTCGTCGCGGCCCCGCCACCTCTCGTCGCGGCCCCGCCATCTCTCGTCGCGGCCCCGCCACTCTCGTCGCGGCCCCGCCCTTCGTTGCGGCCCCTGCCGCCCTTCGTCGCGGCCCCTGCCGCCCTTTGTCGCGACCCCTGCCGCCCTTCGTCGCGGCCCCTGCCGCCATTCTCCACCGCGGCCCCGCCACCTCCCTTGCGGCCCCGCAGCCCTGCACCGACCCAGCCCCGCCTCTGCTGGCCCCGTCGCCTGCCCCTGCGCCCCTGCGACCCTGCTCCACCTCTGCCGGCCCCGGCGCCGCCTCTGCTGGCCCCGTCGCCGAGTCACCCGAGCCGCCCGAGCCGCCCGAGCCGCCCGAGCCGCCCGAGCCGCCCGAGCCACCCGAGCCGCCCGAGCCGCAGCGCCACCTCAGCCGCCCGAGCCGCCGGGTTGCCGAGCCGCCGAGCTGCAGTTGCTGCCGAGCAGCCGTACCGCCGAGCCGCCGAGCCGCAGAGCCGCCCGAGTCGCCCGAGCAGCCGAGCCGCCCGAGTTGCCCGAGCCGCCGAGCCGCAGTTGCTGCAGTGCCGCCGTGCCGCCAAGTCGCCGAGTCGCCGAGTCGTCGGGCCTCATCTTCCCACCACTGGTGAGCCCCTGCCTTACTAGCGCGCTGCCTACTGCTTGCTTGGCTGCCTGCCTTACTGCTGCTACTCCTGCTCCTGCTTCTACTGGCAGCGGCCAGATGCAGCTCCAACGACGCCCACGCGCGTCTCTCACGCCCCGGCAGCTTCGTGAGTGGTACGCTCATAGTGGAGGGTCTCTCAGTTCTGTTCTCCCCTCCCTTTGTCCTGTTCTCTCCTCCCTGTGTCCTGTTCTCTCATCCTTGTGGTATGTTCTCCCCTCCCTTTGTCCTGTTCTCTCCTCCCTGTGTCCTGTTCTCTCCTCCCTGTGGTATGTTCTCTCCTCCCTGTGTCCTGTTCTCTCCTCCCTGTGCCCTGTTCTCCCCTCCCTGCGTCCTGTTCTTTCCTCCCTGCGTCGTGATCTCTCCTCCCTGTGTCCTGTTCTCTCCTCCCTGCGTCCTGTTATCTCCTCCCTGTGGTCTGTTCTCCCCTCCCTGCGTCGTGTTCTCTCCTCCCTGCGTCCTGTTCTCTCCTCCCTGTGTCCTGTTCTCTCCTCCCTGTGTCCTGTTATCTCCTCCCTGTGGTATGTTCTCTCCTCCCTGTGTCCTGTTATCTCCTCCCTGTGTCCTGTTCTCCCCTCCCTGCGTCCTGTTCTCTCCTCCCTGCGTCCTGTTCTCTCCTCCCTGCGTCCTGTTCTCTCCTCCCCGTGTCCTGTTCTCACCTCCCTGTGTCCTGTCCTCTCCTCCCTGTGCCCTGTCCGCTCCTCCCTCCGCCTCACTCTCGTAACCCCCTTGTTCACCTCTCTCCCCCAGGCCCGCTCACTCTCTTACCCCCTGTTCCCGCCCCTCATTCCCCCCTGCTCACTCTCTTTCCCCCTTCGCTCAACCCCTTTTCCCCCCACTCGCTCGCTGTTCCCCTGTGCAGTTGCCAGTGCTCACACACCCTGAATTGCAATTTCAAAGGTATACATACCCACAGCCCGAAGCTCCCTCTTGTGTGGGTGCTGCAATCACCTGCACTCGAACTTCTGCTTCGGTTTTGCAGACAAACATTCAGTAACCTGAGGTTCTGGTCTGGAGCCTCAGTGTTGTAATTCAGGTCGTGGGCTTCCACTCCACAAGACTATTTCACCATGCATTTGTTACTCCAACATAAAGAGCGTATCCTAGATGGATGTGATGGGTCTGGCCGTTGCATGCAGCTTATGATCATTGCAGTCAAATAACACAAGAATTATTATTAATCATAATGTACACTACCAATATGCTGTTACAGATTCTCAAGCAAGGACTCCCTCCAATACCATGGGAAAGTCTATCTAGTCTGGCAATGGCACAGGCAGTCTGGCCAACTTGGGCAGAGCAGCAAGCAGAGCAGTGTCCTAATGATCTTGATCAGAAGCCGCACAATCTCACATATCTTGGGCTCTGGAGTGACTTCTATGATATCCTCCCTTTCTTTCTCCAACACAGGCTGAATATGAACGTTTATTGCTCGCACCAGCTGCTGCACTCCTTGTGCCGGAACTCTGTCGATTTTTCTCACGCAGTCACGCAGAACCTGAGGGGCACATGAAGCAAACAAGTCATAAATAGGTTTCCTCAATATAACACACGTTGCTAACCCCTCTCCCCCCCTCCCCCTCCCCACCCCCAACCCCGCCTCCTTCAGCAGCCATGCCACTCCTTAATGCAGCTGAAAAAAAAAAAGACCACTTGAGCATAACTGCAAAGAATGGCAACACAGCATGGAACGGAATCGCCAACTGTTTTGGTGGAGATGGGGGCAGGAAAGTTGGAGAGGTGCTATTATCACTTGCCTGAAGGGAAATATCTTGAGCTTCTATGATTTGTTGACTCAGCCTCCCTCTGTGCTCCTGTGTATTCCTCAGCTGCTGCCGCAGCCCGTTGCGCTGCTGCGTCACCTGCAAAGATTGTTTAAAAGAAAAGAAAAAGACCAGAGTCTCAAGCTCCAGGACAATAGATGAGATCACGAGTTGGCTCTTTGCACAGAATAACAACTACCATATGAACATGCAACAAACTGTGCATGCTCCCAGCTCCCAAACATGCATGCCTACAAAATCATACACAAATTTTCCCACCCTACCTCATCTAGCTCTTTCCTCAAATCTTGCACCATCTTCTCCAGCGGCCCAGCTTCTTCAACCTTCTTCTCCAGACACACATTCTCCTGCTGAAGTCTGGCCACCACAAAGTGTGACCCCCGTACTCCCTGCTCAAACACAAAATGTTACCCTTGCTTCCAGGTGTCTTACTTCCCTTGTTCTCGCTGCCAGATTCTCAATGTCCTCCCTTCGCCTTTGCATCCAGTATCTCATACCTTCTCAAACCCTACTCTCCAGTTTCATGTACTCTCTAACCCTATTCTCCAGGTTTCCATACTCTCTAACACTTCTCTCTGGTTTATCATGCTCACTAGCCCTACTCTCCAGTTTCTCGTATTCTCTAAATCTACTATTTACACTCTCGTTCTCCCTGACCCTACTTTCCAGTTGCTCAACATCTTGAACTTACTCCCCAATTTCTCTGTTTCTCTCTCGTACTCTTTCACCCTACCGTCATACATTCTCTCTAACCCTGCTCTGTAGCTTCTCATACTTTCAGATTCCACTCACGTACTCTTCCAGCCTAACCTCATACTCGCTTACCCTACTCACCAGGTGTGCATGCTCTCTCAGTCTAGCTTCCATGAGCTCAAACCACCTCATCCGTGTGACCAAATCAGAATTTTCTGCATGCATGGCATTCAAGTTTTTGCGCAAATTCAGAACTTGAATCTGCTGACCCCGCAGCTTGTGCAGCGCTTCTTCCAGCAGGTGAGTTAACTCTGTTGAGAAGAGAAGCATGGACGGATAGAAATAAAAAGGGTGAATAATTTGGTAATGAAGTGCTCACTCAAAGCAACAATGGTTAAAAAACATCACTGAAGAGGCAAAATAGCTTGTATGCTCGCAGCACTGTAAATTTGATGTTTTGCAGCACTGCTTCTGAGACACTTTGCCTGAACAATGAGGTAGAAAAGAAAGTACTTAGATCGAACAACACTCGGGCTCCAGGTTGATGAGCAACCGCTTTCACCCCACTCACTTAACTTTCTCTTCGTCCGTCCACTGACCATTATCTGGCTGATTCCTGATCCGCAGACAGTGCTTCACTTTCCCCTCGAAAGCATTCAACTCGTAATTGCTCCATGCCATGGCTGCTTCAAGCTGCACGCACAACGAGGAGCGGGGGAGAAAATGAGCACATAGGCAAGTCTGATGCTGAATCTGATTGCATAGTTGTCGTGTTTCACTGGCAGCTTCTAATTGTCGCTTGACATAGGATTACAAGTTCCAGCCAATCGCGGAAAGAATGTACGACCAATCGTACATACAGCATCCCCTTCAGTGCCTCTAGATAAAACATCACTCAGTACCTCCTTCAGTTGATTTGCCGTGCGTGATCTGCTTGAGTAGTGGCCGTGCAGAATGTAAAAACTATCAACCCTGAACTATCAGAGTATTTAACGCGATGCTGATATACAATGAGCCTCGAGAACCGAAGAGGATACTTCATCAGGAAGTGGGTCGATGGGGTGATTGATCAGTCCATTATCAAGGAACCTCGTAGTAAATCTGGTTACAAGGTACGGCGAAAGAAGTTCAGGGAAGGCGATAAGGTGGTTGCATGGTCAACGGAACCGGCGAGCTGAAAAAACCATTACACGAGTCCCACAAAGGACTCGCGACGTACGGTACATCGATCGTAACCGGAGGGACGACGAGCGACTGAGGGACGGCGTTGATGGAACAAACGGAGGAGATGAAACCGCGGAAGGGAGCAGAAAACTATGCGCTGAGACAAACGACACGTGGCTTGCTGTTTCAACAAACGCAGTGTGACCAGAATCTAGGAGCCAGAGGCGGGCCCAAGGCTGCTGGAGGCGACGCATGCAAGGATCCATTGTGAGTGCGCCTGCTCGAGCTTTTTTGGTGATCGAAGTTCAAACCTGGCTGCTTGGCGCGCTGGCGTGAGCTTTTGGATCAAGAAAAAGGCCAACCAGCCTGCATGCAATGTCTTCTTCCGATACTAACAGCTGCGGTAGAGTGCTACGGTGTAGAATGAAAGATGCAAACAAAAAACAAGTAAAATAAAAACAGTGTGTGAAATGAGAAAGGGAACTTAGATATCAAGCAGGGGTAGCTAAAAGCAAAAGCGCCGATGCCGGGGATCGAACCCGGATCTTCCGCGTGACAGGCGGAGATACTGACCATTATACTACATCGACCTGTCAGAAATTGTGTACAGTTTACTATACCAGATACTTCACACTCCCTCCCGCCGATGCCGGTGTTCGATATTGCACGATCAATCGCCAAAATCTTTCCTTGTGTCCATGTCCTCAAGTTATATTTGGTCCTGCATGCAAGCATTTGCGACAAAACTACTTGTTTCATGCAGCAGCCTCACAAGCTCCCCTAGCTTGGGCTTCAATCGGTTTCCACCAAATCCTCGTCTTTTAGCTCCACCATAGACTGAATGTGATGGCTAGGAGCTGTGGTATTCCCTCCGCTGACACGCTGTTGAGTCCTCTCACAGATTCATGCATAACTTGAGGGGTAAAGTGTCAGAATGTTATGCTCTAGCCTGTAGTGGGTGCTCTATAGCGAGTACAACCCTTCTATGGTTTGCTATTTGTATCCTCATTCCTGCTAGTGAAAATCCTCTTCTTTGCCTAAAATGTCTCTTGCCTAGCTAGGACTCTCCTAGCTATGGCTCATAATCCTACCGCTTACTTCCGCATAAAGGATAATGTGGAAGGAGCAGTAAGAAGCCATTCTGCAATGGCAGGAAACTCTCGGGAGGAGAAGGATAAATTAAGGGGAAAAGACCAGGCCCCTAGATTCGTTTTGAGGTAGTCTGAGGCCTTAGAGTACACCCCTCCTGGAACTCTGTCTGTCAGAGGTGCCTCAAAATTTTAGTCTGAAAATTCAGACAAGCACAATTTTTTTTGTCTGAACTGTCAAAGTTACTTCAAATTTTAAGATGTTCATGCAGTTTCGTAAAAGCAGTTATAATAGCATTGAGGCTGATTACAGCCTACCATACCAACGCATCAGGCAACGTGCTCGTGCTCGTGCATCGCCTCTGCTCATATCGGCGGCGTTCCAGTGTTTTTGTCACGTGCAGCGCATGGTTGTTTCTGCTCTGCTGATCTCATTTCGTTTTGTCGTGTGTGTGATTACCGTTCTGTACCCATTTTCTTGCATGTGTGCCGATTTTGTCCGTTTTAGATTTGCTTTTCAAGCGATTCGATCGTTCACCCGATCTGTATCAAATAGGCCAAGTGCCACGCAGCTGAGCTGGCAGCAGGCAGAAACTGTTGCTTGGCGTGGCATGTGAGGATCAGACAATGCCACACGAAACTTTCAGTACGAATCAGGAACTTCGCAATTCACACCAGTGCGTGCTGCAGATGTTTTTACAGCGAATCAGCATCAAAGTCGCCTATTCTTTACAATACATTAGCGATAACTTACATGTGACGAGATTTTGTCTTCAGAAATCTCGTAATCACGCAACCAATTCCTCAGCGAAACTGGAAGATATTCTCGACAAACGAGTGTATTTGGATGTCCCAGCTGTCGAAGTGAGCATTGCTCATGTCCTGGCACTCCAATGCCATCTCGGAAGTGGGCATATCAGAAGGAAACTTCCAGGAAACTTTGCTCCGATAAGCGCGCAGAGTGTACCCCCGATACAAGTCTGAAGCTTAGCCTACCCTAGTACCGTCATCACCCGGATATAAGACAGTGTTGAATAGTAGACAAGGGTTGTCTATTATACGGGTGTCTCTTATAAACGGGGTAGCCTCATTATAAGACACCTATTTGTGTGTAGGGGCAAATGGCAAATGTATAACGAGGAAGTATCTTCTAAACGGATTTTTGTCCATTTACAAGACATAATTTTTTAATGTATGAGATAAGACATACATGTCTTATATCAGGGCGATGACGGTAAAATTAGGCTGAAATTTCAGACAACTCATAAGAAAAAACTCTGGAAAATCAGACAAGGTACATAAATAATTTCTTTGAGTTCAGACTACGGTAGGTACAAAAAAAAAGTCTGAACGGACTCTTATTCAGACTCCAAAGTCTGATATCTAGGGCACTGGAAAGGACCCAGGAACAGCACAGTGAGGGTATTCAGTCACTTGCCTTCAATAAGATATCTCGAGCATTTAACAGTTCTCCTTGCAACCTCTATGCTTCTGAATGATCCTTAGCTGTTGATACAACTCATCCCGCTCCTCGGCGGATAGGGAAGAAACCGAGGAGCGTGCGGGAAGGGAATATTGCGGAAGCGGGACCACTGTGAGGATTGAGAGGATAATCTTATGCCCGTGATGCACTCATTTGCTTAGGCTGGCTCGCTCAGCGAACAAGTAAGGCTTACCCAGGTGCTCTAGCGGATCTGAACGAGAGCGAGTTCGCAGGAGTGACACATGCTCCGTTTGACGGCAGATGGATGCGGCGCCTCCCATAATTTCGAAGCAACGAAACAGCGTGATGCTGTCAAACATTATATATGTTGTGTTAGTCTAGGCTCCAGTGGGTTAGCCTATAGGGGGTACACAATTCTAGGGTTAGGTTTTGACCTATTTGTACCCAACTGTCATTCCAGTCAATCATTCCTGTTTCGTACTTCTGACATGGTTTCAGAGCAGGTCCTTCGCTAGGACCGATTTTTTTTTTTAAGGGCCCACCACTACCTACCTAACTACCTGCGCCTAGAGCGCCTCGTTCTTAAGGCCCCCTGAGGCCCTCGCGCTAGCCCCTTAAGGCCCCTCACGGCCTCGTGCGTCGCCCCCTAGCGACCTCTTCGGTCCTGCGCTCACCTCTCTAGAGGCCCCGTCGGCCCCACGCTAGCCTCTCACGGCCCCCTTCAGGCCCCGCGCTAGCCCCTTAAGGCCCCGCGCGGCCCCGCGCTAGCCTCTCACGGCCCCCGAACGGCCCCGCGCTAGCCCCGAACGGCCCCGTGCGGCCCCGCGCTAGCCTCTCACGGCCCCTTCAGGCCCCGCGCTAGCCCCTTAAGGCCCCCCGTCGGCCCCGCGCTAGCCTCTCACGGCCCCCGAACGGCCCCGCGCTAGCCCAGAACGGCCCCGTGCGGCCCCGCGCTAGCCTCTCACGGCCCCTTCAGGCCCCGCGCTAGCCCCTTAAGGCCCCCCGTCGGCCCCGCGCTAGCCTCTCACGGCCCCCGAACGGCCCCCGAACGGCCCCGCGCTAGCCCAGAACGGCCCCGTGCGGCCCCGCGCTAGCCTCTCACGGCCCCTTCAGGCCCCGCGCTAGCCCCTTAAGGCCCCCGTCGGCCCCGAGCCAGCCTCTCACAGCGCGACCCGGGCGAACCGCGCGACCCGAGCCGAGCCGCGCGACCCGAACCGAGCCGCGCCGCCCTCACCGAGCCGCGCCGCCCTACCAGCCGAGCCGCGCCATCCAGCCGAGCCGCGACCCGAGCTGCACCGAGCCGCGCCGCCCTGCCGTATCTGGTTCGTCCTACCTACTTCTGCTACTGCTACTGCTACTGCTACTGCTACTGCTACTGCTACTGCTACTGCTGCTAGTCTACTGTTCCTATGGCTAGCCCACAGGTTCTTGTGTTCGATGCTGAGGGCCACCCTGTGAAGTTTGACACCTGGCTCGATGACCTGCACCTCTACCTACAGCTCACAGCCAAGGATGACATCTCACTGTACGATCACGCCCTAGGCAATGTCACTGCCCCTGCTGCTACTACTAACAGCACTGCTCGCTCATAGTGGCAGACTCGTGATGCCCACGCTCGCTTCGCCATTCGCAACTCCCTGCCGATAGACGAACGCGAGCACTTTGGCCAGCACAAGACTGCACAGGCACTGTACACAGCTGTCGTTGCTCGCTACTCCTCACCTGCCTCTGCCGCACTAGGCCGTCTCTCCCTCCCCTACCTGTTTCCCGACCTGTCCTCCTTTCACACAGTCGCTGACCTCATCACGCACCTCCGCACTAGTGAGGCCTGCTTCCGTGCCGCCATGCCTGCTCAGTTCCTTGCCACGCACCCCCCTCCACTCTGGCTCACTCTCTACCACCTAGTCACCCGCCTCCCTGACACACTCCGTGCTGTCAGGGACCACTTCCTAGCTCGTTGCCCCACTGAGCTCACCATTGCCCTCCTCGAGAAGGAG